CTACTACAAAGGGCATAAGGATTTTCTGTCGCCTTTCGCATACGATTCTGAAAGGAAATCAAGAATATAAGAGCAGAGGAGGCTGCTGCGAATGGGGATAGGGATGGTTGTCATTTAGTCAAATAGGTGGGGTGGGATGGGGTGGGGGTGGGGGAGACAATGCAGTCTCGCTGCTGGGCTTTCATTAAGCCAGAGAGGGAGGACTATGGGTGCCTTGTCAAGTCAGCATAATGAAGCGATAAGCCGCTGACATATTGCCAAGTGCAACCTCAATCCATACATACATATGCTCGTATCCCCCCCCACCACCACCACCACTCTTGGCATAGCAATTACCAGACAAACAACAATAACAGTTTGCCATGCAAAAATCAACGTCAAAAGTTCAACTGTTTGCAAATAATTTGCAAAAATCGTTTGAACTTTGAGCTTCCCTTTTGCTATGCGGATGGTTCGGTTCATCTGCAGCTGCATTGTTTGACACACATACATTAATAATATGCACACACACACACACACACAGAGAGGGAGGCAGCAGCGGCAACAGCAGAGGTCTTATCGGCAGCTCAAAATACCGTTCGCGCTTTGCCTTCTTGTCGGAGGACGCTACGCTACGCTAAGCATTTTGCCTATGCCATATTTCACAAAACCAGACAGACGGAGGGACCGGGGGGGACAGGGGGACCGGGGTACAGACTGATCTGAAGGTACATACATATACAATGCGCATATGTATGTGTATGTGTGTGTGTGTGTGCAGAACCGAAGCATAAAGCAATGTCGGGCTGCGGATGGGAGGGAACCATCCGCCAGGATTGGAGGATTGGAGCCTAGCTGCTGGGAGCAAAAAGAAAAAAAAACCGTTTGATTGCTTGATTGAAACCGAAATGGAGATACACTTTTCATCCTTCAATATTCCATTTCTCATGCTTTTCTTTATAAGCTTTGACTCTAAACTGATTGAATTTCTAGCAAGATGCGGATATTTTCCAAAAATTTCAACATATCCCCCATATCATACCTGTACGCACTTGGCAGTGTATGGAAAAAAGCAGAAAATCTACCAGTTTTAACCTCGATGCGAGGCGACATGACTCATCTTGGCATTTTTGCATCAAAATTTTTGCATTGCACTCTCGAGAGCGGGTCAGGGACTGGTGCTGGAGCTGGAGCTGGGGCTGGAGCTGGGGCTGGGGCTGGGGCTGGGGCTGGGGCTGCTGTCTATCCGGCGCCCAACGGCAGCCTTTGCTTTCCTCCAGCTTGCAGCTCCAGCTGCTGCTGCAGCTTGTTTATGGCATTGGCATGTACGACAGTTGCATTCAATCAATATGCAGGCAAACGCGTTCAGAAAGAGATCCGCATCCAGCAGCCATCAGAATCTGTTGAAGTCAGAGTCAAACTCAGGTCGAAGCCGGAGCCGGAGCCGGAGTCGGAGTCAGAGCCTCAGAGTTGTATGCTTCGGTGGAAAAGGGGGGCAAGAGGCTGAACCCCGGCCGGATTGGCACTCGTATTCGTATTCGCATTTCGAATGCAGCTTCCTCTGGATTCTTTTGTTCCGGAATTTATCAATATGCATTCTGTTCGCCTTGCGATTTTGCTTACAGCTTTATGCGTTCTACTTGTGCGACACCTTCGTGCTGCTCCATTATTTTATTATTATCTTCGCTGGCATTTCTCATACATATGTATGTCCTTCACACAACCAATAGGCGCTGGGGCACGGGTACGGGTGGGGTGGGTTGGTGGGGGCGTGTCATTCGTGTGGAAGTAACAGGAACGAAAGGAACGAATCTGTTGCTTGAAAGTGCTTCTTTGCATACGATTAGGGGGTATCCCACCGTCCGAATGTCGTGCACTGTTTGTTTCCCTTTTTTTCTTTTAAGTTTCCTCCTCTTTGGTGTCGTGTGAGGCGTGTCCGGGCCTAATGTTTGCCCAGTGCCACACACTTCTAATGTCTCTCTCTTTCGCTCTTTCGCTCTATCGCTCTCTCGCTCTTTGGCTCTTTCTGTGTTTGTCCCCTCTGGCCACTTGAAATTGTGTCTCGCATTATTCGCTCGCCCCACAATGGGGGGGCGTCAAAGAATGTCGAGCATAGAAACACTCCAAATGCCATGCCACTCAAGGTCAAGGTGAATCAGCACTCGAACAAGAGCTCAACTCTCAATTGAGACACATCAGAAGGAGGAAAGGTTTGCGGCTAAATAAATTGTGACAATATTTGAGTGGCAGCTCGAATAAATTTCCAGGGAATTCGGGAATTTAATTGCACTTGGGAGCCACCTGGGGGCCAAAAACCAAGCGTAAACCAGACAAACGCAATAAAAACGGAAAAAAATGAAATTATTTGTGAGACACTTAATTCGGAGAAATTCCATTTAAAAGCAAACAAACAACAACATTTACCTTAAGCACTCCCAAATCGTATCCGGAGATTATAATTACAATTTGTACGTGTATGTTTATTTATTTATTTGTTTTTAGGCACTGCCACCCCCCATATAACAGATAAACAAGTCAATAAAATGGTAGCCATTAAACTTTAAAAAATACAACAATACAACAAAAAAAATAGACAATTTCTGGAAGATTCCCCTTCGGGGTTGTGTGTGTTAATGTAACACAAATTTACTACGAATTAATGCGATAATACACGGATGGGTGTGGGAGCTCTTGCTCCCCTTCATTAATTATGTGTTTAACTTCTCCACTTACCCGCCGCACAGCACCACCCTATCATAGTCGGCCATCACCCTTTTTTATCATCCGTGGGCCCCTCTCTGTTTAGCCTTTTCAATGCCCCTCTCTGCTCTGGGGTTTTTCTTTTATTTGGATGCGTTAAAAGCTTTTTAAGCTGCTTTTATCAGGTCTTTGATGGTGACCCACCTCATCTCTCGGGTTTCCACATCCTGTATAACTCTTTTGTTTACTTAGGCATCCGCAATCCGACCCCGTCGCCCCACCCCCACCACCCGTCGCACATGTCATTACAAACAAATGCCACATCCTGGGGCACCCATTTGAGGTCTATAAATAAGCACCAACAATGGGGGGGAGGGGGCGGTGTGGGGCCTAGTCTAACAGATTCTCCATGCACCTACCCCCTACCCCCTACCCCCGCAGAAAGCGTTAGCGTAAAAGATTAAATTCGTTACACGAGCCAAAAAAAAAACCCCCAAGAAAACACATGGAAAATGGGTAAACATGATGTACCACGCCCACGTCCGCGCCCCCTACGGAGGCGGTGTCGCCCTTGGGCATTCTTTTCTTTTCTTTCCATTTTTTTTTTTTTTTTTTTTTTTGCGACCGAAGAAAGTTTGGCCTCCTCGTCATATTTTCCCTCTCATTGTTTTCCCGCGTCAATTTCCTATTTGTATTTGTGACAATTTCTTTTCGCTTTGCGCCGTTTCCTTGGCTTTATTGCTTTTCTTTTACTTTCTATTACACTTGATTCTTTTTCTATTTTTCTTTTTCTTTCTGTTGCTGTTTCTGTTTCTTTTTCGTTCACTTATTGTTTTTTGGTTTTCCTTTTTTTTCCCCATTTTCAATGAGCTTTTGTTTGACTTTCCGACTTCGTTCCTCGACTTGTAGTTTTGTTTCTCTTTTCTTTTTATTGTATTCTCGTATATAAATAAATATATATATATAGGTGTGTGTGTGTATTTTCGGAAACAAAAGGTAAAAGTTTTTGATGCTGCGTATTTTCCCTGCGAATCTTTTGGTTTTTGTTTTTTTTTTCTTTTTTTTTTTTGTTTGGTTGAATTTTGGCTGAGACTTTGATTGGCATTAAAAGTGTTATATGAGCTACGCATAAGTTTTAATAGCCTGTTGGGGTCTGTTGGGGCCTGTTGGGGCCTGTCCTGTCGCCACATGAACATAATGCCCCAGTTGTGTATTGCTCTGGCTTTTCTCTGTCTCGATTTGCCATTTGCCATTTCCATTTCCATTTGGTTTTCTTCTTTTTCTTGTTCTTGTAATTGCTCTGAATCCCTCTCAGTGACAAAGTTTCATTTTGATGCCTTGGACTTTAGTGTTGGCCATAAAATACTTAGTCTTTTTGCTCTCCAGATGTACATGGAGGACAGGGCATGAAGGATAGTTGGGGGAAAACGCTTGTTTTTACACTCTTTCCCTCATGTTTATTGTTATGCCATCACCATCAAGCATCCACATCCGGAGAGCATCATCATCATCATCATCATCAGTGGAATCGTCATTGTCCCTAGTTTTCCGCAGCACTTGTCCCTTTCATTGCCGTATTCAATCAGAGCTCAAATAGCTGGGATTAGTAAGAGAATTCTGCTTCGGCACTTTGTCTACGGTTTCATGACCTTTTAATTGCCCCGAAATCGCTGGTTTTGATGGGGATTTTCAGTTAACGCAGGAAGCAGACGACTGGAAAGGTGGTCCAAGGTGATAAAAAGCCAACGTTTCCGGAAAGTAGGGGAAAATTAAATTATATTAATTGATGAATCCCAGATGCAGATGTGGTGGAATAAATCGTATTTAAATGAATAATTAAGTAAGTGGATGGGATGAATTCTCACCATTAAATCACAGACTTCATCACAGAAAATGGCAAGAAGAAACCACTGTAATTTCTCAATAAAACACTCTAGGAAATGGCATCATATGGAATGCCAATTTAAAGACAAAATATTCAATCTTACGCACAAGAGCTCGCACAAATACCTATGTAGGTGTTGTACTGAGCAGAACTGGCGAAGGTGAAAATGGGCGATGTTATACAACTACATGCAGAGAGGTACTTGCAACGCTTTGGTGGTACTAGCCAAGGAAAAGAACACTCAAAATGTGTCATCCACGGGATCTCCCTACTAGATCCCTCCTAAAAAAGAAGGGGAAAATACAACAACTGGAGATTTGCAAAAGTGACACCTTCCTAAACAATGAAAATAAACTAACTTCTGAACTGCGTTTCCCTTCACATACAATCCCCAATAAAAATAATAGAAAATTCCCACACAACAACTAAAATAATCATGATTCGATACAATATCAACCGCATAGTCGGTGTTTGTGCCATCGTCTTGCTGCTGATCTTCATAATTCTCAACCACACGCCCGACACGCCACAAATAATCGAATTGGAGACGACATATGTGCCACCAACAACCCTCTTCAGTCCACCCAAAACAAGCAGAGCATCGAAGCCACCAAGCCAACCGAAGAAACCACAAAGTGGTGCCAAAAAGTTCTTCGTATTTAGTCCAAGGTGCAAGATACCCTATGTCGATCCATTCAAATCCGAACTAGTGGACGTGATGTCCGAAGTTCCACTCAAGGTCTGTTCAATGGATCAGGACCTTTTCAGCGTTCTCTATGACCGCAAAGCGAGGCACTACACACTGCGCGTGAACCAAGATTTCGTGAAGACGAAATATGCAGACAGTAGCGATTTGCATTGTGTCTATCGGGAGGTAATTCCTGGAAGTAACGATTCATTTGCCATGTGAGTAGAGCCCCAGCATTCCACGGCTGCCACTTTACCCAGACGATCTCTTTCCCAGGACCAACAGTCCTCAAGTCTTCGAAGAATACTTCGTTGTGCCACGTCACTTTCTTGGCGTGGTGGTTCAGTGCAATGAAATGAAGAACCTCTCGCAAGTGGTGCAGGTCGATGCGTTCTCCTTCGCACAGTATCCGGAGGACCGCAACGAGACGAGCGATGACTGGCGCGGCGCCCACTATCCCAGTGTCTTCCTCTTTGGCATCGACAGCATGTCCCGGATAAACTACCGTCGGACCATGCCTCTCACCTCGCAGTTCACCAGTCAGCAGGGCTGGTATGAGATGGAGGGGTACAACAAAGTGGGAGACAACACCCTGCAAAATCTACTGGCCGTCCTGACGGGTCGCAGCACAAAAGAGTGGGCAAAGAACTGTGACTTAAACAATCCGAGCTGCTTTGTGTATTTATGGGACTACTTTCGCAATGCCGGCTACCTGACTGCATATGTGGAGGACCTTCCCTCCAAATCGACATTCAACTATTTGAAGTCGGGCTTTACACGGAAGCCGGTCGACTTCTATCTTCGTCCATTCCAGCTGATCCTCGAAAATGTGGTCAAAACGTTCGACTGGCTTGGCCAGAAATACTGCTTTGGGCGGAGGACAAGTCTTGATTACGTCTTTGATTATGTCAAGCAGCTGATCCAGCGCTTTGTGAGGGAATCACCGAAGCCCTTGTTTGGTCTCTTTTGGACGAGGAGTTTCACCCACGACCACCCCAGAGGGGCCCACTCTCTGGATGGGATCTTCGTCAAATACTTTGAACAGTTCGAGGAGTACGGATTATTCGACGAGGCCATTGTGGTACTCTTCAGTGACCACGGGTCCAGGTATGGGGAGTTGGCGGAACACCTTTCAGGCTTTCTGGAGGAGCGCCTGCCCATGCTGCATATTTATCTGCCGCCCCACTACCGTCGTCGCTATCCAGAGGTGGCACGCGCTCTTCAGCTCAACAAGAATCGTCTTATCTCCGGCTATGATCTCCATATGGGCATCAGATCCATTTTGGAGCAGATTCGTCCACAGCTTAAATACCCGAACTATGCTTGTAAATATTGCCGATCCATCTTTGAAGAGCTTCCCAGCAACAGAGATTGCAACGATGCCAACATTCCATATCAATGGTGCGCATGCGAGACCTTTGTGCCAGTGTCCATCACTGACTTCAACAAGAAACTGGCCGAAACGATTATTCATCGAATGAACGATCATTTGGCTCAGCTGAAACTGGATGACGACTGCCAGCGAATGTACCTCCGTAAACTGCTGAGCGCCAAGCGCCAGCGCCGCTCTGATGGCGTAAGAATGGGTATATATCAATTGGAGTTCATTACCTCACCGAATGGCGGGAAATTTCGATCTATTGTCCAAATCGACAAAAGCGCGAAGTATGTAGATATTGAATTGGAGGGGATCACTCGATTGAACTACCGCAATGAATCCTATTGCGTGGAAGACGCTCTGGCCAAGAAAATTTGTGCTTGCCGCGATAAGAAACTGATCGGTTCCTTATTCGACATCAAAAATACGGCAGGAGGATGAATATGATAAGGCGAATGACTATTTATCAATGTTTTCAGCGATAGACTTCATCGTTGTGCATAAATATCTGTACCATTTTTGAGCATTTAAGTTTCCAAAAGGGAAAGAATAAACCACAGTAAAAATTCCGAAAGTAATACATTAATAAACCAGTGGGAACGTTGTGAGTCGCACATAGTCGTCTGCAACGCAACTGTACATTTATACTCAGTCAGCTCGGCGTCACTCCGCTAGAGCGCGCACACTGCACGAGGTACATATGTCTGTGTGAAAGAGAGAGAATGAGTAACACAGCAATTTCGTTTGTTCCTCCAGGCTATAATAATGATCCGATTTGATCCAGATTCAGGAACCTGCTAGATATGGTACTTCTCTACGACTCTGCTTTTTTGGTTGTCGCAAAAGTGAGGATGCCACAGGGGGGGCGGCGGGTATCGGGTATAAAAATCCACACTCGACGCCTTCGTCTTCAATAGACTAGCCTCAAGGTGTCCTTCACTCAAAAGTTGTCTCCAGGCATCGCACAGTCGGTTTAACTCGTTAGGGAGCACTTTACAACTGCTTCTGCGACTGCTGTCTCCTCCTTTCGGTCCTTTTGTCCCTTTTCCGCTTTTTTCCTGGTGCTTCATCCTCCTAATTATAGTCGATCGCCGCTGCCGTCGGTGAGTGAAGTAATAAGGTGACGTCGTCACCACAGCTGCTCTCTTTCGAGGACCATCCGTTTTTCAGTATGCATGCGAACGTGCATTAACTTAGGCCCGTAAATTAACCTTAGGCCAGCCCAGATGTTTCTATCCTCTCCCGAGACCGATATCTCCTTCTCTCTTCTGTTTCATTGTCGGTCCGTGCTGTCCTCGTCGTGACTACAATCGCTGGCACCGACGTCGCTGAGTGCAGAAAGCCAGAGAGTCCCTTGTGATCCCTCATACTGGAATATTCTGTATTTTCTTGTCGTTCTGGCCCATCTATTGTCTCGCCAATGGAGCCGAAGGCACACTGTGTCCTGAAGGCCCCAGGTCTAGGGTACTTCCCAGTCACTACTATTCGAATGTCATTCACTTGGCGGCCTAGAGTAGCATGCGTTCGACGCGTTCGATATGTGAAGGAGCAATCCACTTGGGGTACGTACAGGAGTAATCACGACAAACCCCATTCATGATCAAAATCGACTTTAACTCTAAAACATCTCTCAGAAAAAAGTGTGCTTCGGCTGATCCTGCAAATACTTAAATAAATAGAACAAATTCATACACAATCTCGAGCACAAACTCCAATCATGATCCGATGCAATATAAGTCGAGTAGTCATGGTTTGTGCCATCGTCCTGATTCTGATCTTCATGTTTCGCAATTACAATGGCGAGCCTCGGTCCGCCTCGGACACGCCACAAATAATCGAATTGGAGACGACATATGTGCCACCAACAACCCTCTTCAGTCCACCCAAAACAAGCAGCGCATCGAAACCACCAAGCCAACCGGAGAAACCACAAAGTGTGGCCGAAAAGTTCTTCGTATTTAGTCCAAGGTGCAAGATACCCTATGTCGATCCATTCAAATCCGAACTAGTGGACGTGATGTCCGAAGTTCCACTCAAGGTCTGTTCAATGGATCAGGACCTTTTCAGCGTTCTCTATGACCGCAAAGCGAGGCACTACACACTGCACGTGAACCAAGATTTCGTGAAGACGAAATATGCAGACAGTAGCGATTTGCATTGTGTCTATCGGGAGGTAATTCCAGGAAGTAACGATTCATTTGCCATGTGAGTAGTGCCCCAGCATTCCACGGCTGCCACTTTACCCAGACGATCTCTTTCCCAGGACCAACAGTCCTCAAGTCTTCGAAGAATACTTCGTTGTGCCACGTCACTTTCTTGGCGTGGTGGTTCAGTGCAATGAAATGAAGAACCTCTCGCAAGTGGTGCAGGTCGATGCGTTCTCCTTTGCACAGTACCCGGAGGACCGCAACGAGACGAGCGATGACTGGCGCGGCGCCCACTATCCCAGTGTCTTCCTCTTTGGCATCGACAGCATGTCCCGGATAAACTACCGTCGGACCATGCCTCTCACCTCGCAGTTCACCAGTCAGCAGGGCTGGTATGAGATGGAGGGGTACAACAAAGTGGGAGACAACACCCTGCCCAATCTACTGGCCGTCCTGACGGGTCGCAGCACAAAAGAGTGGTCAAGGAACTGTAACTTAAAGCATCCTGGCTGCTTTGACTTCGTCACGTACTTGTGGGACCACTTTCACAATGCCGGCTACCTGACTGCCTATGCGGAAGACCTTCCCGCTATATCGACATTCAACTATTTGAAGTCGGGCTTTACTCGGAAGCCGGTCGACTTCTACCTTCGTCCATTCCTGATGATCCTCGACCATGTGCTCGAAACCGTCGATTGGTTTGACCAGAAATACTGTGTGGGGCGGAGGACAAGCTTCAGCTACGTCTTTGATTATGCCAAGCAGCTGATCCAGCGCTTTGTGAAGGAAACGTCGAAGCCCCTGTTCGGTCTCTTCTGGACGAGCAGCTGCACCCATGACCATCCCAGAGGGGGCGAACTTCTGGATGGGATCTTCGTCAAATACTTGGAACAGTTCAAGGAGTACGGATTATTCGACAAGGCCATTGTGGTACTCTTCAGTGACCACGGGTCCAGGTATGGGGAGTTGGCGGAAGTCTCTTCAGGCTTTCTGGAGGAGCGCCTGCCCATGCTGCATATTTATCTGCCGCCCCACTACCGTCGTCGCTATCCAGAGGTGGCACGCGCTCTTCAGCTCAACAAGAATCGTCTTACCTCCGCCTATGATCTCCATATGGGCATCAGATCCATTTTGAAGCCGATTCGTCCTGGTCTTGAATTTGTATCGACCATAGAGTGCTATGGTTGCCAATCAATCTTTGAAACGGTTCCCCGCGACAGGGGCTGTGACGAAGCCAACATCCCCTACCACTGGTGCGCATGCGATACCTTTGTCCCAGTGTCCAGCTCTGGTTTCACCAAGAAGTTGGCCGGAATGATCGTCTATCGAATGAACAAGTATTTGGCTCAGCTGAATCTGGATGCCGACTGTCAGCGACTGCACCTTCGCAAACTAGTGAGGTCCAAGCGCCAGCTGCACTTTGATAGCGTTGGAGTCGAGGTCAGTCCCTCCGACGGCATGGAGACATTTCAGTTGCAGTTCATCACCTCGCCGAATGGCGGGAAATTTCGGTCTGTTATCAACAGTGATCCCACCGGGACGTACGTGGATATTGAACTGGAGGGGATCAGTCGCTTGAACTCCTACCGCAATGAGTCCCAATGTGTGGAAGACGTGCTGGCCAAGAAAATATGTGTGTGCCGCAAAAAGAAAAGCAACGGTTCCTCAATCGTTGATGAAAGTTCCAAAGTACGGAAAGTGAAGTACTCATGGATAGCGGATCAAGAGGACGAATATGATGATTCGAATGATCATGTTGTCGGTAAAATTCGAATATATCAGTAAAGATCTCTACAATTTGCGGTATTATAGTTAACAGAATACATTTATACCGAATGAAACACTTGCACACACGGAAGGCAGGGTAACCAGGCGGATTGGATGGATATTTAACAGAAAAGGCGAAAGAAGAAGTGACTTCCAAAAGTAATTTCTCAATAAAATGCAAGAAGACTAATTCCAAAGTCCATGCATAACTCAAAAACTAATGAAAGAACCCATTAAAATATGCACAATACAAACAAATAAATAAAAAAGAAGCAAACTTCCCATATGACTTTCCACTTTACGCCCCCCCATACACAACTCTCTACCAGGGAGATCCCTGATTGGGTCGAAACAGGTACAATCTACGGCTATCTGGAGTTTCAATTACATTCTGGCCCCAGCCCTGTCAGGGCCAACTATCCTTCGGAACAAGGAAAACTTAAACGAACAACAGCTCCGTATTAAGCAAACAATTTGCTTCTCTTGGCCTTTTGCCCTTTGTTTTTCGACCAAGCAACGGCAGCATTTTATATGCACCAGTATACCCTAACCCACGCCAAGACTATGACGAAGGGCGAGTAGGGATGAGTCTAAGGTCTCAACTGTTTGGCAATACAGTCGGGGATGGACAGTATATGGTCTTGGGACCGTCTTCGGCTCGACAATGATTGTGTTTCTGGGACCGACTCAGCCGCCCCGAAGGCATTGACGAACAGAAGTACCCCGTGTCTCAGGATCCCCTCAAAAAAAATGGACATTTTTAGTTTCTGTTAATCAAGGTGGCGCTCCGTTTCCCTTCCATCAGTGTTTCAGTGTTTCAGTGTCTCTCGTTTGATCATTCCTTTAGCTGGAGTCGAACAGCAAACAACATTACTAGTAGACATAGACATAGCACAGCAGAACCCCCAATAAAATGGAAATTTTCGGTCAGAAAGTAACAAAACTAGCACGAAAAATGAAACGTGACTCGCGGCAGTCGCGGCTGCTCATTCACGAACACGAGCACGCATACAGCAGCAGCAACACCAGCCGCACCATGGCGGGACTCGAGGACGACTCGGAGATCCTCCTGCGCCCGGAGGGCATCGAGGCGGACGTGGAGAACGCCCGCAAGGCCGTCGAGCGCAAGCTGATTTACCTGTCGGAGTCGAACCGCGTGGCAGCACCATCGCGGGCGGTTCGTCGCCAGGCACTGGAGGGCCGCAGCGGCAGCGGCGGCAAAGGACGCGGCGACGGGAAGCACACCAAGAAGCATCTGTCGCAGGAGGCGGCAGGCAGTGGCGGCGGCGACAAGATCCGTAGCCGCGGCAGTCACAACGGTAAGTGGCCCAATAGGAAAAGTGGCACGGTGTTTATGTTACCCCTCGCCCATCGTTCCCCAGTCCTCGATTCGGACCGGCGCAACGGGCTGTCCATCAGCGATGATCAGGAGGACAGCGAGATGGAGTCACTGTCCCGCCGCTTGCAGGATGTGGTGCTGGAGGCCGAGCAGGCGGAGCGCCGCCTGAGCGGCGTCTATGGGCGCCAGCAGATGAGCCCGAAGGCCAGTGGTGGCTTCACGTGCGGCGTGTGCGGGGCCAAGTTCCAGATCAAGTCGCTGCTCGGCGCCCACCGTCGCACCCACGACGAGGACTTTTCCGTGCGCTTCCGCTCCCACCGTCCCCGTGGCAGCAACACGACCCTGACCAGCGGCCACCTGTGCAAGTACTGCGACCGCAAGTTCGACCTCGAGCGCACGCTGCACATCCACCAGCTGTGCCACTGCAAGAAGATATCGCCCCAGCTGCGCCGCAAGCTGCCCTACACGGAGCTGTTGCACGAGAAGAAGGCGCCGCTGCACGATCAGCGGCTGTAGATCGATCGCCCACCGATGAGGGTGTGCCATGCTTCGGCTTGCTCCTGGCCGGCATTCTTTTAGTTTTTCCTTGTTTTGAAATTTAACCACACGGCAGAACCCTACAGCAGACGCAAATCTCACTTTGAATATTTCATGAGTGAAGTTTCCATTTCATTGTTTCCATAAAATTGCCCCCTCTCTCTCTCTGTCTCTCTCTCTCTCTCTCTGTGAAAGAAAGGCATCTTGAAATTGTTTTCGCTGCTGTTTTTGTTATCCTTAAAGAACGCTTTTCCAATGCAATTTGCAGCACTTTAAACTTGTCCTCTGGACCATCCATCGCCTCCGTCGCTCCCGTCGCCCCCGTCGCCCCCGTCGTCTCCTTCGCTCCTTTGTGCTACTTTTATTGTGTGTTTTGCCAGTGCAAACACGTACGTACGCCGGGGAAGAGAGCTCTCGAACGCAGTGCAGTCGGCGAGACACATGGCTGGCGAAAGTTTTCCATCTCCCCCTACCGTCCCCTCCCCTCCCGTCCCCTACCGTCCCGTCCGCTTGCTTTATGTTTCTCCTTCTGGTTGTTTTCCCTTTATTATATGATTGCCATAAGTTTTTCTGTAGCATGGCGCTCCCAATGCTTTGTGACGATTTGTAAACACAATGGTTTGGAATTTAATGATGATTTGTTGGGTCCTCGAATTTAAGGAATTAATAAGGTATAAGATATAAGAGAGAGTGGTCCCCTCTCTCTCTCTCTCTCTCTCTGTCCCTTTATGAGTACCATTGAAGTTCTTCCGAATTTTTTTTGGGAATCGGCAGCACTTCCATCTGGTCCCAAAAATTGCAATCAAACTCCCCACACACAGACACACCCACACACACAGCACAGCCACTGAGGAAGCACTCTTGGACACACACATTTAGAGCTGGAAAACGCATTTCCTATAGACACATCCTTCCCATTAAGTGGAGTCCCTGTGAGTCGAGCCGAGTCGAGTCGAGACGAGGCGCCTTCGTTAGCTTTGACCGCAACAGGCAACAAATCAACTTAATTGTGTGTGTGGAAACGTCAGAGGCCAAACCATGCGACACTTCCTCAGAAAGGAGAGGAAAGGCGAGTTTTTGGCCCAAAAATTTGCATAGAACCAGAAGGATGCAAAATTGCTGACGTCGATGTCGAGGAGGTGCAGACTGTAGCTGTATCTGTAGCTGCAGCTGCAGCTGCTTCTGTATCTGTAGCTATTTTCCATCATTTAAAGGCAAACTCAAATGGCAATATGTCTGATGCTGATGCTGATGCTGCTGCTGCTCCTTCCTGTACAAATAAACATCCGCTCCATGGGCATTTAATTAGTGTCACTTCTCCTTGGGGCTTCTTCAGCTTCGGCTTCAGCTTCAGCTTCCGATTGCCTTAGTTGCTGGGGGTGACTAACAGAAAAAGAGTGCTGAGGGAGGGGTGGGCAGGGGTGGGCAGGGTGGAAAATATTTCCAGCAACAAGTAAATTTAATTACACACACACGAAAGTTGGTTTTTTCCCCTCTCTCTCTCTCTATCGCTCTCTCTATCGCTCTCTCTTTCTCTCTCCGTTGCCAAACAGAGAAGAGAACTCTGAAACTCTGGGAACTTCTCCCTAACTCGGAAGTCAACTTTTTACATTTCTTTGGCGCTTCTAAAAATTTTATTTGCCAATTTGCTCAGCTCTTGATGGTACTACACTTCTGGTGCCATCTTCACCGATTTTCCTCCTTTTATTTGCTACCCCCCCTCCCCCACAGTTGGCATATGAGAGTCATCCACGAGTACCAGAACCAGAGCCAGTACCAGCACTCGCATGACCCTGGGCAAATTTAATTTGAATGAAGCACCAGAACGAGTACCAGAAGCAGAAGCAGCAGCAGCAGCAGCAGCAGCAGTAGGAACAGCAGGAACAGCAGGAACAGGAACACCAGTGGCTCACATTACGCATACGCAATGTTGTATGGCCCTAGGTGGAAGGGCGCGAGAGGGGAGAATCAAGTTGAGTCGGGTCGGGTCGAGTCAATTGCTGCCTCCGTCCTTATAGCAGCTGCTGGCAGCTGTTGCCGCCCAGAAACACACAAGCCAACTGCCATTTTTGGCCAAACACGAGGCCAAATAATAATACTCGTAACAATATTATGCTTTGTCTGAGTCGCGCCTCCTGAAATTTTAATGACAAAATGTCACATTAACAGTCCAAATGGATTTCCATATACGAGACAGCTCTGCGAGAGCGTACACTGAGAGCACAGGCATAAGGAAATTTATAATAATTATGGAGGAGACTTTTGACTTTCTCTCAATGTATTTCCAGTTATCAATCTGTTGCTGTTGCTCTTGCTGTTGCTGTTGCTGTTACTGTTGTTGCCATTGTTCAACTGCTGTCTGGTGGCTGCTCCTCCACCGTGTCGTCTCCATCGCCATGTCATGTGGCATCGTCTCCAACTTCTCTGCTCCACTGTTCATTTACCTCAGTCCATCAGCCACAGCTTATTTCGCGCTCGAGTGCTCGACTCGGCTTCGCCCCTGACGACTGACTGGCTCAGTGAGTGGGTGAGCGACTGACTTTCACTCATACATACAACCTTCGCCATTCGCCATCCGCCAACCGGCGTCTCTACCTTGCCGCCATTCACCTGCCACCTGCCACCTGCCACCTGCCAACTGCCACCTTCCTTCGCCATCATCGCATCCACATACTCATATGAGCAATCAAATTGGCGTTGCACGTAGAAAGTTAAATCTGTAACATAAATGCGGCTAATGGAGGAACTTCGGGGAGGCGCTGAACACAGGGTTGTACGAGTGGGGGGTGGGGTGTGGGGGGGGTGTTGTCTGTGCAGCATTTGATTTCATTTTGATTGATATTGTTTGTTAGCTGATATTTTAGTTGATTATATGCAGACCACACTCGTGTCTTCGAAACGTGTTAACAAACAGAACAATGCCTGTTTTGTGATGCCTTACAGAAGAATTTAATTAGGGTTCTTTTCAATTAAAGGGATGGAATTGGCCTGGAAGCATGGAAGCCAAACCGAAATGTATCAGTATTCCATGCATACAAAGCTCTTTTCTAGAGCCCCAGTCTGCTCTGCTCCATTGCATTTCATCTGTAGTTTATTCAATTCAATTGCATTTAATTAATTTAGATTCTTCTGCAACCAATGCTATCTATGGTTAACCTTTTCCATCTGAGCCACACCTGCTGAAAAGAACATTCCCGTCGCCTCTCGCGACGATGCCTCTTTTCTGCTGATGCTCGGCCCTGAGCTCATTATCCCTAGGTGACTCTGTCAAAGGGGAATCCCACCACGAACCGGAGCCGTGGCGGTGGCCGCCCCCCATTAGCAATCGTTATCTTCAGAGATGGCCAGGGCGAGCATTCCCATTAACTGCATTTCAGGGAAATGTCAACTGAATTTTTCCCATCCACGTTTTCCACTTGGCTCGCCGTTGATACGTATTTGTCCCTCTCTATCAGCCTCTCGCCACTTACGAGTAAACGAACACACATACATACGTGTGTGTGTGTGAGTGAGGGCTCCTTTTCGGCTGAAAGGATTATCCGGACTCGTTGCTGATGTCCTTCTCGGAGTCTCGCATAAGTTGTGCAAATATATACACGTGAAATGACTTACAACTGATTTAATATGATAATTGGAATGTGAGTCAAAAGATAAAGAGAACAAACCCCTCCGTAAACCCTTCCACAACCTCCCCACCCCCCACCCCCCCACCAACTACCCACCCCCCATAGAGATGTCGCTTTAAGTGCCACACCGCCCACCCGCTTGAATTCTTTGACTTGTGGCAAGTCCTCAAGAGTACTCTGAATGGATCTCTCTCGGCTGCCAGCATTTAGCATTCATGCAGGAAAACTTGAAAGGATCCACGCCATGCCATGCCATGCCATACCATACCATTTCCCCACGCCTTCGCGTGGCACCTCATGTATGCTGGTTTTTTTCATATTTTTTTTCCAATTCTCAACTGCCTCAATTAGGCGGCCACCCACTCTCCCCACCCTCTCTCAACCCCATCTCTCACTTAACTTAACCAACCAACAAACTCGCGTCTAGGCAAAAAGTCAGAGAACGAAGAAAAAACTTGATATTATGTATATAAAATGCTTGTTATAAAATTTAATGAAACCGCACATGAAACGAGCAGCGGATACCATTTTTTAGGTGCAGGGTATTATTATTAGGGCATATCTGCTATGGGAAGGCATTGCCACACTTGAACAGGGCTACGATCTCTACTAATCGATCTGTCTGGCCTGCCATAGCGCCCTTAAATCAGAAACCTATATTCTCGAAGGAAATTGCCACTTGAGCACCACTTGAGATGGGCCTTTGGGCCGATAAGACACCAAAAAGGGATGGTTTATAAGGAGGTTCTCACAGAACTCCATAGCTGAATATTTACTTGTCTGTAACCAGTCGCTCGACGCTCGATAATAGAGGATCTGCCACTCCATCTGATCAGCAGATGATTGCCTTTAGCAGGCTCCCACTTTCTGTGGGGGCTTTCCAGAGCCAACTTGTGTAGGGTATTCCCCGCGTCCCCCCCAGTCGGAATGAAAACTCCTTGAAAATTTGCACTTTTGCGCTGACGTTAGCTCCATTTTCACCCCACACACATATTTTCGGCAAGGCAGCGGCGCAACCGTCTTAATGGTTTATGAATTTGCTTATCACGTATTTTTCTGGCAGGCCCATATACGCGGTCGCTTTTCGCCAAATTAAATGGGTCGTACGTGTTTGCATAAAAGAGCAGAAATTTCCTTGAGTGAGTGGGTACAAAACCCCAAACCCAAAGCCAAAGCCAAAGCCAAAGCCAAGCCCGTCCCCAGCTTCATTAACCAAACGCAAACAGGAAGAAAAACTGAAAGGAATGTTCTCCAGAGCAGGGTCCGAGAGCTTTAGAGCAACGTAGAGGGAGAGAGCGAACAGTTCTTCAGTTGGCTTCATTTGTTTTAATATTCCTCGAGTGTTTTCATGGT